TCAGAACACTACTGCAACTCTTAAGACTATAAATGCACTGAAATGACCCCACTTATCTTCCACAGCAAGGATAAAACTCTATGATTTTATTCCTGATATTCAAAAGGTCACTTCCTCACTGCAGATCACTATCCTGGTGTGACTTGCTGTGAAATAACCTGAGATACTTTTCTAAGAAGTGATGCTATTCATGGTAAAGCAGCAGCTCTGGCCTTATTTACCCAGATGGCCTCCTTGACTTTAAAGCCTCAGCAGCATTTACAACTCACAGGATTACACAGAGAACTTAGTGCAAACCTTGTACCACATTCTAAAATCTATTGAGTGACCCAAGGAATTCATGAAGCCATTCTTACTTTTCACAATAGTGCCCTCCTCCTATGTTCTAGCAACATAGGAATTGTATAAAATAATATTAATATCTAAATATGCCAAAGTCCTTTCTGGGATTGTGGCTTAAAACAAAAGCTTGAAGAAATCTACTGGAAAAGGTCTAATTTTTGCATAAAACTATTATTTTATTTGTTAAATTGAGTGACAGGAAAGGCTGAATAGTGAATTTTTAAGCAGGTATATTTACTATGTCTGGATGTACTAAACTTTTGTTCTAACCAATAATTTGTTCAACTATCAGTGAAACATGGCATTCAATTTAATCCATTTAATGGATTTCAAGATAAGCTAGCATCATTACTGGGTTTTTAGTACAGGATTCAATTCTACATTAATATGCTTACATTTAGGTATCAGTGGTGCACCAGGTGTCTTAAGTTATTGCTGTAATCACTGGAGATACAGGGGTCAATTTGGCTTTCTAAGCAGGTGTCTAGCACCACTGTTATTTGCTTGGCCTTCAGCTGCAAGTAGCTTCTAGAAGTACAAATCTCCCACAGGTTTTTTATCACAACTGTCATCCTTTTGGAGTTGAGTCAGCCTTGAGCACCTCCAGCAGTCATAAGTGTGAAGCCCCTGCTCAACACAGTTAAAGCTTCCTGGAGAGCAATTCAGCTTTTTTCAACTGCTGTAGGGTTCAATTCAGTGGCCTAAAAATAAATGCATGGTGCAATCTTAGATACTGTGCATTATTATGGCTGGCCTCCAGCTACCTCTTCTGATGGGCACAGACTTCACACAGGGCTTGGACCCTCTTCTGGGCTTACAGTGGTGGTTACTAACTCCAGGCACCTCAAATGGCACTAAACACAAATTCAGGGAAATGCATTGTTCTCTGAGCCTCAATGATTTAACCGAGTTTAAATAGGAGCCTAGATATCTCATGTGCCTATAAACCATGTACATTAATTTATCTGTATTTCAATCCCACACTCAGTAAAAGATTCACATTGAGGTAACCAAATGCCAAGTAAGATGCAGGAAGCTATCTTAATTCTACATGACAGATTAGTATCTTTATTAAATAGCTATATTCAGCTTTATTCACAGATGACAGATGGAGAACTAATACTCGCTTCAATTTGGTTGTTCATAAATGCCATGCACAATAAAATATATTAATTTACAAACCAAGAAATAAAGCTCTTTATCTATTGAGATGGATGAAATACCTATGCTACAGGAGCTTGAATAATCCCAAGAAAACTTGTTCCATGCAGGTTAATATACCCAAACACTTAGAAGCAGTAAGTAGCCTGGAAGGAGAAACAGTCAACGTGGCTTTGTAAAGTCACACACTTGGCTATGCTCATTGTGACCTGGCTTGGGTAATCTAATGCAATCCATTTTAACAGCTCCCAAATTATAAACATTAAAGAACAGTGATTCATCACTTAACTTGTCTAAAGATGTTTATGGGATCATTAGACAAAGTTTGACTACTTGCAAATCTGTGCTGAGGTGCAATAATTGCGTACTTGCTCCATGCAACAGCCCAAGCAGTCAAATAAGCTTTTCCTAAAAGGCTGAAAAAATAGACATACTTTCCATATGCAACAAATGCACTTTCAAATTAGACTTATTCAAACAAACCCTCTGATAACCTGATATGAGAGGCTATAAGAGGATGTGTCTTACTATTTTTATAACATAGTAGACTTTTTTTATAAGGTAGTAGACTATATCTTTCATTCTACCCCAAAGTGTTACTGTTGGTGGCATTCTCCATTCAACTCTTAAAAGCAAAAAAGTGAAATAGCAGCTAGAAAATTCCAGGCTTGATTTTTGGTCAGTATTTAATAACTTAGCAGCGTATTTACTATCTCTACTTCTATGTCTTTACTGGCTGTCATAGGTGTGTGATCCTGGATGAGAAGTCATGCCTGATTAATACTCAAAGTGCTTGCTCTTGTACTCTAAAGCTCTTCCCCAGTTGCTCTGGTTTTGCAGCATTTTGGTAGGTAGGAGGAGAAAAAAAATCTGCATTACTATTAAAGGTCATGAACTAGAAAAAGAGACATATATATTGTCCCCTTACTCCAGGGAATATTACTTCAACTAAGAATAATTCTGCATGCCCTTAAGAGAATTGACAGCAACGCATCTTCCCTGCAAGGATAAAAACCTCAAAATTTACTAGAGCTATTTTTTCCCTTCCTGCAAAATTAAATGTCTTTTCACTGTACGTAGTCCAACCTAACTTTATAAAGTAATATAATAGTGGAATGACCAATGTTGTGTATCAGTCTGAAACAATCCTTGAACAACTTTCAATTATATAGTTAAAATACTAATGAAGTGCAATTCCCTCTGGGATGTAAGACTACATACAGATTGACAACTGCTACTTTAAATACTGCCAAAAATGAATACAGAGCAAATTTCAGCCAAGGACAAAGGGGCACACTGATGCTGCAATAAAAAAAAAAGTGCCATAGGAGCTTCAGCAGTGTATTTCCATCTAGACTCAAGAACAGCCTTTCCGTCTACAAAGTCAATTTATGCTCACAGAATTCCTGCCAGCATTTTCCCAGCAACACTATGAACCATGAGTGTACAACTGTACGGCTCATTCTCCATTTGATTTACATTCAGTCTAATAAGCAGAGGAAATTTAAATACACAAACAGTTTGAGCCGATGAACAATAATAACAATAATAATTACCTCTACATATATAAAACTGACAACAATTTGATTTTATGTGGTCACCTATGACACCTGCAGAAGGCAAGATGTTCCAGCCATGGAGGGGTTCAGGCTGTAGCACTGGAATCACAGAGTTTGGTCTTGAGTAAATCATACAACCTTTAAATTTATAGTTCACCTTTTCTTTTCAAGGCATCTGAAATAATACACATTTACCTAAATTCAAAGATATTGTGAGCATCAACTAATGCTAGCATGCCTTTTAACCATACGAAGCACTATGTGGAGTAAACAATTTAGCAAGTTTTGCAGGATGAAGACTTGTAATAACCCTGCTGAATTTGGAACGTATTTCAGATAACAGATTTCTTTTAAATGGGCTGCCTATATCAAGCCAGCAAATATTATTCTTTCAACACAAGAAAGCATTTTATAAGGTTTAATCAACTACTGGAAACTCTCACAACATATCCTATGGTATATTTAAGCTGCTAGTGTAGCACTGATGGCATCATGTAATCTGCGAGTAGAATATTGAGGGGGAAAGTCAATTATTTCATCAAAAGAAGTTGATAACACTCATTCTATGATGTCTTCTGTATTTTATTTGCTTGCCTCTTTGGTTTTGACTGTATTTACTTTGGTTCTTGTTTGATGAGGAAAAACCCAAATATTTTGTTAGAAAGTATTAGATGATTAGAGAGCCCTTCTAACCAGTTAAGCAGTCATTTAGGCAGGATATTTTACTCAATTATAATTAATTTGTACAAACACAGTCCTTAAAGCATACCTACATACCAGTGAAAAGAGATGATCTCACCCTTCCACTCACTCAGCTACTCTTCTGAAACCATTTCATGCATCATCTCATATTTTTATGTCCACATCACCAGATCCAGCATGTGACCTTTTTCCCTCAGCTCACTGACACAGGGAGTCTTACAATGAGGTCCACAAGGCCTCAGTCTGCAGGAGTAGAGAGGTGCCTTCACAGAGCTGTGGCGTGTCCTTGAATGCCATGGCTAACAGTGGGGAAGGTCAGACTTCTGAAGACATGGTTTTTCCACTCAAAATGCCATCACATTTTCTTGTTGCCCTTTTTTTTTTTTTTTTTTTTTTGCCTGTCAGCCAAACCTATGGCACTCAGCAAGAATTTTTAGTTTCTTTTAAAAGGTGTGGCTGAACATCACCATAATTATTAAGAAATATGCACTGGCCCAGAGACTGTACTGCAATTCTGCAAGCAGGACAAAGGTAAGGGAAGAAAGGATGTCCTCTTTCAGCCTTGCTGGGTAAGACTGCTAAGTCAGGACAGGCTATCATGAGAGAGCAGCTGAAAGAATATTTGAGGGGAAAACTGCCTTGTCTCCCGGCAGGAGGGCTACTGCTGCTACAGCACATTCCCTGTTCAACTCTTACATTAAACTGCAGGAGTTTGACACAATTTCCTTGTTGTTTCCCTACCACACTCAATTTGGGAAAATAGGTAAACTGCATTCAAGAGTAACAGTGACCACAGAAACATCCTCCTGTGCCTTTCCACTTCCAAACATTTGCTGGTCACCTCTTCTCTGGGTTCTCTGAACCAGAACTTTCCTTTTTCATTCCCCTGACCAAATACTTATCATGACCTCCTCCCTCAGTATTGCTCAAGTGAAAGGCTGCTTCCTGCACTTCTGCCAAAAGCTTCAGTTATGCCAGTGACTTTGTCACTGCTCTGTTTGCCTGTGGTGCCCATCAAAACAAGCATCTGCAGGACCCTGCATCCCACCTGCTCACAACTCCGCAAAAGTGCATTCACATTATGTGTAGTCTGAACTGGCAGCAGGACCCCTTGCTTATTACAGAACCAATAACTGCCTTCTTAGATTATAAAGCACTTAATTCCACTTCTCAACAACTTCTGATCTCCCCTCCCATTCCACTCCCTGTGATCAGTTAGTCTCAAGACTTTGTTACCTTCTTTTGCTCCTTCTCTGCAATGGCTTCACCTCCAGGATTTCCCTTCTGAGGTCAAATCTCAGATGAGAGGTTTTGTTTTAACCTTCTCTCTTCATTTCTTTTGTCTTCTCTGTTTATCATCCTTAAGATTTAGGAAAAGTCCCCTAAAAAACATTCTGTAAAGAATCTTAGATTAAAAGTGTGATACATATAAAACTTCTCTTAAATTCTCTTTATTACTATTTGGGAAAAAAAAATCTACCCACTTATCATTTGCTTATTTTTAATGTGTAGTAACTTGACCAATTTAAACTTTATTCAACATGGAATTGATATTTTAACCACACTACCATACCCTGTAGTATTTAACAAGCACAGAGCAGTAATAAACATAAATAAAGCTAGAGCAGCAATTTGGTGTACTTGTGAGATAGTTGACTCAAAACCCTGGAGCAGCAGCTCTCTGAAAAATCATGCATGTCAGCATTGCTTGTAGTAAACTGTACTCTCTTTTGCATTTGAAAAAAAAAAATTAAGCAGCTGTCATGAAATTTATTACATCCTTGCAGAAAAACATTATCCTCAAGACATCAGTGAGCTCTAACTCCTAGAAGGGAAAAGCTATAAACCTTAAACTAAAAAGCTTTCGCTAGAGATTTGTCTATCAGATGATTTCTATGCACTATTACCGGAGAACAACGTGAAAAGAACCGTCCCCCCTCAGTTCTCTGTGATTTACCGTGCTGTCACTGCCCTGCTACTTTTGCTCTATCATCCCACTCTGAAACAATAAATCAGTGCAGAGCTAAAGGTGTCGAAAAGTTTCCTGCTCCTGCAATATCCTGCAGCGTGGCACTGCAGCACGATGCCAGGAGGATCACACCAATTTGCTTCATGTTTCAGTGAGGCAACGTGGACTGTTTGAATAATCTCCAGGTAATCTGCATTAAAACCATTCTACTGCAGTGTACTGCGGTATTAGGAAAGATTTCAATATTGCACCACGTGATGCAACACAACCCTACAGCATTTGGCAGTTTCTAGACAGTGAGGGAAAGCTTCAAATCCATGGCTGCAATGTAGCAACTTTCCATTTTACAAAGTAATAGGACAGACTATTTTGGCTCACTCTGTTGGTGTACAGCATGAAATGATACAAATTTCCTGGAATAAATTATTATAGACCTAAATCCCATTTTTTTTCTTTTTTTACTTACACCACCCCCACTAGCATGAGAATCTTTCAATGATAATAAATTTCCTTAACCTTAAGGGCAAAGTGTTACAATGTTATTAGCCCAGTGATATATTAATTTTACTAATCTAGACATTATTTTTCCTCTTCTTATTCAAGCTACCACAGATACATTTCCCTCTCTGTCTTTCCAGCTTGCATATTTTTTAGTTTAACTTAAATTTACACATAAGCTTTTCTGTACTTTTATGTCAGTCACATAAAGAAGTAACATTTCAGTGTTTCTCCAGTATTTACACAAAGATTTTAATTATTTTTGTGAAGTTTTGGAAATGTTCTTCCTATTTATGTGCTCACCTCAAAGATGCATGAAAAGCACGTGAGTTTTGCTTTGAAGGAACCTTTTCCCCCAGTAACGTGAGTAAATGCAATGTTGCAAAGAAAATCAGCAAGTAATTTTTTTTTCCTGCGTGTATGTGAGAGAGTTTAGAACTGCATTTTCAAACACTCCTGAAACAATTTTTGAAAGTCTGGACTACCTACAGAGGTAGAAACAGCGACATAGGTGAACTCTTGTTATCATCTGCATTAGCGAGCTGCTGATGGCAGGATTTTGGTGCTGCACCAGCTGCGGCCGGGCGGTGAGCGAAGGGCGCGGGGCTGACATTGGCTGCAGCGCGTTGCGGTCCCTGCAGGTGCTGCTCGGCACAGCCCCGCCGCCTTTCGCCTCGGGCACGGCCGGGCAGCGCGCACCCTGTTAAACATCGGGGACACGGGGCTGCGCCGCCAGGGCCCTGCTCACCTTGTCAGGACGGATGGCATTATCATTTCCCAATCCCTTTCCCGAGGAAATCGGCCTCGACCAACGCCTCGGCTCCAGGGTACGCCGCAGACCCCCTTCCCTCCCGGACGGACCCGCGCGGCGCTGGCCGCTGCCCACACCCCGCGCCCCTGGGTCTAAGCCCTCTTTTCCCACGGGAGGTCCCCCGGTACCTCGCAGCAGCCATTTTCCGACTCTCTCAGCAGCTCCAGCGGTGATATCACCTGCCGAGGCCCCTCGGCGGCGGGACGCACCGCTCCGTGTTCCTTCCTCCCTCCTGACACCGGCGGCACCTTCTTCTTCTTCTTCTTTTTCCTCCTCCTCCTCCTCTTCCACCTCCTCCTCCTGCCGCCCCGCCCCGCCGTGCCCGCGCCGGCTGCCATGCGGCGCCCAGCCCCGCCCCGCCCGCCGATGCCCGCGGGCGCTCCGGCTCTGCCCGCCGCGCTCCCCGCTCCCGGCAGCCGTGCGGGCACGGAGGGGCAGCCCCACCGCAACCATCACCGCGGCGGCGGCTGCTGAGTCACGGCCTGAATCTCATCCCGCCCCTCCTCCTTCTTCTCCTCCTCCTCCTCCTCCCCCGCGCCGCCGCCTCCCGCCCGGCTGCCGGCTCCAGCAGCGCGGTGCCGGCGGCGATGCCCGCCCCGCTGCCGGGGGGAGAGGCTGCCCGGCGCTGCCCGGCCCCTCGCCGCTCGCCGCAGACCCGCGCACGCACAGGGGCAGTCGGGCGCTTGAGCCATGATTGCCGCGGCTTTCCTGGTCCTGCTGAGACCCTACAGCATCCAGTGCGCCCTCTTCTTGCTTCTGCTGCTGCTGGGGACCATTGCCACGATTTTATTCTTCTGCTGTTGGCACCGCAGGCTCCAGAAAGGGAGGCATCCCATCAAATCCGTCTTTTCAGGTCGCTCAAGGAGCCGAGGTAAGAGACGCTGTCGGTCCCTGAGGGCGGAGGGGGGTGTCCCCGGCCCATCCCCAGGTTTCTGCCGGCGGAGGGCCTCTCTGGCACGGTTTAGCCGGGCAAAGGCTTTAAAGAAAATTCAAGCCGAGCCCAGGACTGCGGCAGCCTTGTCTCCACCCATCCCTCAGAGAAACCACGGCTAGAGGGAGAGAGGTGAGAGGCTGGGAAACCCCCCAGCCCTCCCCGGTCTGTCAAAGCGCAGCAGAACTTTATGCTGAACTTCTTCCCGATGAATTAAATATAAATGCCGGGCGGAGCTGACGGCTGTGCCCGAAGGGCCAGAGCTGTCCCGGAGCGTGCGCCAAAGGGCGAGTGGAGGGGTAAACCCGCTAGCCGGGGCCAAATGCGAGGTGCAGCTAGTGGAGCCTGTGTGTCTTTCTGCTTCCCTTCCAGATGCTGTCATGAGAACTCATCACTTTCGCTCTGAGGTAATTTATTTAGCACGCAATTTCAAGGTCAGAAGTTGTTCTCTTTACCCGAGTACATATTGTCGTGGTCTTTTGTTAATAAAATCATATAGCGAACTTTTCATTTTGCATGAAAGCCATAATGTCCTCTTTCATTTCTTGGTTCGGTTTTTTTTCCTTCCCAACACAAAATGAGCTCTTCATCTGTGTTACCCTAACCGGCCTGCCGATTTGTGTCATTCCCAAAGGAATTGGTTACTTGGAGAAAAGCTGTGCTTACTGTACGTGCCAGACCTCCCTGTGCCCAAAAGCAGCCCTGAGCCCAGTTACTGACCTCGCTGTAAATACGTGCAGAGCTGATCGGTTTTGTGACTGCAGAGCCTCTGCTCGCTTACTTTGCCCACAGCCCTCACCTGCGCCCTGCTCCTTGTTAGGGAAGTTGCCTGCTTGGCTTGGATGTTGCCGCGGGAGATCCCAGAAGGATCCAGACTACAAACCTGCTTGGCAGGCACCTCGGTGTGTGACTTTGTATTTGGAGGTCAGGGGAATCAAAACTCTTACATGCCAGTGCTGAAAGTATAACACAAACCCCAGTCACCTCCTAGGGATTCTGAATGATGAGCATAATTGCTGGAAAAATATGAAAAATAATATTTGTTTTAGTACCCACTTTGTTTCCATGCTGCCCTGTAGAGCTCTTGTCTAGATATTTCTCTTGCCTGGTTTCCTGCTATTGATTTAAGGCATATTTTCATGCCATTGCCTGTTATTCTGAAAGCCTTGAGAGACAACGATGCACACAGCGATACTTTGTTTTAAATTATTTGCATTTTCCCTTACCCTGCTGTGGGTGTGAAAATTAGCCAATTATGACTAATGTTTTCAAAAGTGTGCATGGGATACATTTTTGCAACATGGTTCATGTTGGCAATAGGTTTTAAATTCTTAACTGTTTTGAAATTTGTACACACTATCACAAAAAGATGCTACAGGGAGTGTCCTATCTTTAAACCATGAAAAGCCTGAGTTTGTTGTTCACCAGTGCTTCAGTAAAGTGAACAAACAAATGTGTCTCTGGCAATCAAAAGATGCTTTCACTGTTTGGTTTATCTAATATGAAATGCTTGGTTTCCATGCAAAATTCACTCAGTCCTAGATGGAGATGAAGTGTAATATTTTGAAATACGTGCCATCCTGCATGGTGACACTTCAGAGGGAAGCTGGCTTCCGCATGTGGTTATTTGTTTATCAACCAGTCAGAAGTAGACAAATTTAAAATATTTCCTAGAATCTTCCATTAAATGAAACATGCTAGAGTAACTGCTATATTCTTTCATAATTTTCTGTATTTTGTTTAGATGTAGTAATACTGCAGCTAGTGGTCTAAACTGTCCTTCTAAATAAGTGGTAAAACTGTTTTCCCCTTCATTATCTGATGAGACTTTTGATAGAGAAATGATGACTCATTTGACATCATTAAATTTTCATTTTCCAATATTTTTTAAAGTAAAATGTCATTTTAATGAATCTAATAGAATTCATTAATGAAAAAACTACTGGCGTACTTCCAATAAAAATATTGGAAACATTATTATCTGAAGCAGAATTTGACATTCTCTGTCTATATCCTCACAAAACATTATGTACTTCTAACTGCAACACGATGTTGATGAAAGCAAAGCAGGATACATGAAAATATGGGCTTTGCAAAATTCCTCCACCTCCAAAATTAATGTAATACCTCCAAGTTTTATAGCACAAGGTACATCTGCTAGCTTCCACCATGCTTAGTTGTTTGTCAGGTGTAGTTATAAATAGTGTTTCTTAATTATAATAAAAGATAATGAAAAATAGGTTCATAGTAAATAGCAGTGGGTTGGCATTCATCTCCTGAGAGCTGGGTTCAAATCTGACTTCCATCACATGTGAACGTGCAGGTGGTCTAGCAGCAGTGCACAGAGAATTATAATTGCCCTATCTACAGAGTGTTGGCAGTTCCTGCATGATTGACTGCCTGCCAGGAAAGCCTTATATTTGGAAAAATAGATGTGTGCAAATTTATGTTGAGATTCTTTGCCACAGCTCTCATGGTGCATGCCTTCATTGTCTATATACAGTGAGAACCATTGAATCCTTTTCCTTTAATGCTGAACCACACAATAAAAAATAAGACTGCATACTATGGAAGGGTAGATATAAAATTTGAAAATGTATTTATGGTCCTTTTCAGCACTTTTGTTTTGAATTTTATATGCCACTGGTGAATTGAATCCACAAATAGTTCATTTTTGTGGGCCTCAATTTTTAATGTCTCTGCAAAATATGCCTCATTATAATACATCAAAAGTCTACATAGATATTACTTATTATAGAATGAACTTAAACACATGACCCCCTGCCTCAAAAGGAGGTAAATTTGCATGAATCATTATGAATATAAAGTAGGTTAAAGTCTGTCTTTGTTACAGATTCTTAATAACAGAAAAAATTAACCAGTAAGATGTGAGAGTTTATTGAGATAATACAGTGATGTCTCTACCTCCCTACTAACACTTGCTACCATCTGAAGTTTATCAGGCCTAATTTTTAATATATTTTTTATTGCAGTCCTCAGGTTCATTATAACTGCTCCTAAGATTCTTCCGTCCCCCAGGTACTATAGAAATTCCATGAAGCCACAAAGGAATCACACCCAGAATAGTTAATGTTCCTAATCTCAGGAAGACCTAGATATGCCACTGCTTTAAAAAGAAAACAAGTAAATTTCCAACAGAAATATTCATTGCTACATGACACATCAGACTTTGATGTAGTTGTTTGCACTAGTCTGTCTTTACTTTGAGAATTGGCTGTAGAATGAAATATCTATGCTGAACCAAAACCTCACCAAAATAATAATATAACTCGGTGAGAGTTTTACCAAAGTAGGGACTATGCTCCATTGTTGGGCCTTTTAGTATTATTAGTATTACTATTAGTACTTATTAAAATTAAAATTTAAATTAAAATTATTCTTGAAAAAATATAAAGACTATCAATGATTCAGCAATTTCATTCTTGTGCTTTTTGTAGAAGTTGTTTTTTTTAATGAAGTAGAGGAATTTTCTCTGAGTACTTTGTGGGCTTGGGCTTGATATATTTCAGTGGTTATCATTTTATGCTTTAGAAAAAGGTCTGAAAGTCTCCCATACCTTTCAATTTCAAAGCATTGCTTAATGTGTTGGTGTTGCCACTTCTTGTGATTTAAATTTCTCTCTGAATTAGTTTTCCTCATAGTTGAAGCCTCTGGAGTCATTGGATTAAGTGAGATTTTTACCTTTCAATTAAAAGAGAAGGAAGCTTCTAGCCCTTAGGCTGGAAAGAATTAATCTGAACAGTATAATTCTTAATATCTTTTGATTTGGTGGTAAGAACTGTTGAAAAGGAAGGTTCTCATTCAGGATCTATAAATGGTTGTGTTTTATGAGATTGTGAAGGATTAGTTGTGCTAACTGCTAAAGTAGCAGTTTTCATATTATTCAGGAAAAATTACCAGATTTATAAATATTTTCCTGAAATTTTCTCTGAGCTTCACAGTTTTTCTTCATCTTAACTTTTAAATACACTAGAGATACTATGACCTCAGGAGCTGAAGGTATCGGTGGCAGTGGGTAGTGACAAGCAACATAGTATCACTTTGTTTTTATTTAATTTTGACTCACGTATTTTGGGCAAGTTTCCTGTGACTGCTTCCAATGAAACCTACAGGTCTAAAACTACTAGGCAACAAATCAGTACAGGTTTTACAGTCCACTGTGAATTCTGACTTCACATAACCCAGGTGGGACTAAACACACCAGTAAGGCAAATAGGAGT